ATCTTATTGCCTGTAGTTTCATTAAGGTGCATTTGGATGTTAATTTCTTTTTATTTATCGTGTTTGGGGTTCAGTAGGCTTCGTGAAGCTAGGGATGGCTCTCTCGTTTTCAGAGAATGCAGTTCTTTCACTGCTCTTCTCCTGGAGCTCTAATTAACTACATGACATCCCTTCTCAGTCTCTCTTCCAGGTCTCTTCACCAATTTTCCCCATTTTCCATTTGTTTGTCTCTGTGCTGCATTCTGGATAATTCTTTCTGCTTTACATACTAGTCCGTAGGCTCTTTGCCCAGCTCCATCCAATGTCTTTCTGACAGCCCAGGTAGTGAGAATTTAGGCTGAAAGTCCAAGGAAGTGCTGGGATATAGTTCCAGTACCCCAGGATCTTTCATTCTCACCCTGCTCAGCACCAAGGTGATGTCCTTGTGGCCCCAAGTACCAGAGGGCGGTGTTGCTTCTGCTCTACTCTCGCCTTCAGACGCAGCCCTTAGGGCCTGAGCTTCATCGGAGATCCTCTTACCCTTCTAGATCCCACCTGGGCAGCCTTGGACTTGATGACATTTTTTCTTACCCTTTGAGGCTGTCAAAACCAAAGTCAAACATGGCAACCCTTGCTCATGCCTGGAAGCAAAAGCCATTCACAGAACCTAGTTTCTACCCAGTTTTTTTGTTGTTCTTTCTGTTGGGTTCCAATTTGGTGGCGCTCTACTTGTTAGCTCTGAAGTGTCTTTAAGAAACTCATTACAACTGATCCAGCATTTTTAGTCGCTTTGAATGGGAAGGTTGGTTCACATAACCCGGTCTCCCGTGTTACAGCCTTGCTTCCTTTTTTTAAATGGTACTTTTCAGTATGTAATTAACACATACTGATTTTTGAAATTTGGAAAACACAGGTCTAAGAAGGAAACTTCAAAGTCGCCCACGGGCTTCCCTCCCACATGCAACCACTCTCTGCATCTGTGGACTTTCCTATTGACTGATGGCCAGCAAGGGTCTTCGTTGTCTTTCCCTCACCTGCTTAGCTCTTGTGTGGGAGACCTCCTTCACTCTTGCTTCTCTTGCTTTTCCCGTGTCTTCTTTATCCCTGGATCTCAGAGCATCACATGAAGATCTAGAACGGTCCGTAAGTCGTTAGATGTAGACACCGGGGAGAAGGAAACACGGAAACCTGGACGATAGCACAGGAAATGGAACAGAAGACGGCAGTCACGCTGGCTATGGTCATTGCAAGCACGGAAGCAACTTTAACATCACAGGGGCAGCGAGGGGTCGGCGAGCAGGCCCGTGCATGTCACCCACGTGAGCCTGTAAGTCCCATCCATTCCGTGGTGAGTGTGTCCCATCAGCCTACCCAGACACAGCCCAGAGTCAGCTTTCCTGAACACAGTGGTCAGAGACAGCAGACAAGAGAAAATACAGTCAGAGAAAACAGTGCCAATCTGTCCCTAGTGATATATTTGATTTTAAGAAGGTAAAACTCCTTTGCCAAATAGTTGGAGACACTGGTGATTCCTAAAGGAACTTGATTTTTTTTAAATCCCAGTAAAAAAAATAAAAATAAAATCATGGTAATATCACTACGCTGAGCGTCTGGCCCTTGAATCCAGGAACCAGCTGTTTGCAAACTCACTCACCTCGTAGGCAACGACTTATACCAAGGGCTGCTCGTGGTATCCCCTTACATTCCAGCTGCCTGGCTATTAAGTTCAGTCACACCCACTAAAACCTCCTTGCTCTCAAGAAGGGCTTTTTCTGTCGTTGTTCATCCACATGGCTCTGATCTCAGGCCATCTGGCAGAGGCAGGTGTTCACCCTTTACGGAAGCATGGTTGTGAAAACTGCATTCTGGGCACGGAGCTCACCACATCCTCCTTCCCTTGTCCACACTAGTGAATGATGCAATTCATAGAAAACATGTGCGATTAAAGAAAGGCCTTCTCCGTCAGAGACTCTGAGGACTGGTCTGTCCTAAGATGTGCCCCGTGACGACCGGCGAACTGGTGTCATCTTGCCCAGTTTCTCAATGACACGCCAGGAATAACAGTCAGAGTATCTGATTTCCAGGTAAGTCAGGGTTTTCCCACTATCGCGCTTCCTCCAATGGTCCTGAGAATTCACTAGAAACCCACTGTGTTAGAATCACCCACACGCTGTAGCTCTCTTCCCCTAGATTTAATCTCCCTTCTGCCTTGCCTTGTTCACTTTCCTATCCCCAGATGGCAAGGTCACACTCTTTGTTAAATGTTCACAAACTGAGTAAACGGTGAATGCATAAAGTCCCCTCGTGACGGACAAGGGCTGCGGAAAGCGTTGTCCAGCTCGGGCAGACGAGGGGAGGATTTCAAACGTTCTAGAATAGCAAGCCGCACTAGACACAGATCATCTGTTCCCGAAGAATAAGAAGGGCCCATGTTGGGAACTCGGGTGAGGTGTGGGTGGGGATTTAGGAAGGTGCAGCAGAGGAACATAGGGTCACTGAATGAATTCACAGTTGCTAGAATGAGAGAGAAGCCCACAAAAACCCTGTTGAGTTTTGAGTAAAATGCAAATCCCATCTTCCCCGTGAATGGACTTTGCGTGAGACTTGATGGTTTCCAACCTTTATTTCCATCCCTTGCCAGCTCTGCCGTCAGCTCTCTGAACCAGGCCTCTCATTTCCCTTCCTTCCTTTCTACCCCCCCCTTCCCTGTTTATGTTTTGCCCGAGTGGGAGAAGGAAGGCCTTAGAGGGGAATTTAGCAGCAACAGGAGATGGTTAGTGCTGAAAACAAACACACCAATTAGTCCTCCTGGAAAATGGGTGGAAGCAGATCCAAGACAAAACCCTAATGCCAGTGACATCGGTGTGAAGCCACATGAGGTCCTCACGCTCGTGCTCTGCCCCGGGGACCCTCCCACGAGGGCCTCCGCTCCGGGCCCCTTGCATCCCCTCCAAGCGGGTCCCAGGTCTTAGGCTCTTAATGTCCTCTCTCTACAAAGACACAGTTAGTTCAGGACTTTATACATAATGAAGATTGCCCCACGTCATAGGTCATCGGGGAAATGCAAAGTAAACCGAGGAGACAGCATCATCTCACGCCCATTAGAACAGCATCCAGACACAGCCGGCACCAGATGCCGGCAGGGATGCGGAGCCCCCTTTGCGTGGCAGCGATGCAGCTAACGTTACTATCCCCAGTGCATTCAAAACCAAGTAGCCGGCCTGTATGACCAGGGCTGGGAGTCGGTACAGCAGGTGGGGGTACAACAGGTGGGGGCTCAGCCGCCAGTGCCAGGATCCGGGAAAGTAGGGTCAGGGGACACAGTCCCACTGCAGGCTCCCAGGGCCGGCACGCAAGGCTCTTGGAGTCATTACGAGCTGCTCACTGACCGGTTGTTACTCATGCGTCTTAAAGGTTGCTTCCCGGCGGGCAAAGCCCGCGTCCCGGATTTAGCTGAGGTTTCCAGACAAGGAAACGCCCGCCAGGCTGCGCGGCCAGCAGGGGGCGAAGACGACCCCTCCCGGGGAAAACCGGCTCTGCCCGCAGGCACCGGGGCCGCGCTCACATTGATTTCTATTTAATAAACGTAGGGACGTGCAGTGGGGCGTGTCACTCTTGATCTCAGGGTGGGGAGTTCAAGCCCCATGTTGGGCGTAGCGATTACTTAAAAATAAAACTTAAAATGTATATATTTAATAAACACAATAAGAAAAAAGAGATATAAAAACTAGCAAAGAAGAAAAAAGCATGCCCTCACTTTAAAATTACCCGGGGGGCGCCTGGGTGGCTCAGTGGGTTAAAGCCTCTGCCTTCCGCTTGGGTCATGATCCCAGGGTCCTGGGATCGAGCCCCACATCGGACTCTCTGCTCAGCAAGGAGCCTGCTTCCTCCTCTCTCTGCCTGCCTCTCTGCCTACTTGTGATCTCTGTCAAATAAATAAATAAAATCTTTAAAAAATAAATAAATAAAATAAAATAAAATTACCCGGGACTGGGACACCTGGGTGGCTCCGTCAGTGAAGCGTCTGCCTTCAGGTCATGATCCCCGGGTCCTGGAATTGAGCCCGCCATCCGGCTCCCTGCTGAGAGCTTCCCCTCCCCCCTCACCCCCCCCACCCTGTGCACGGGTTTGCCTGCTCTCTCCCAAACAAATACAATATAAAATGAAATAAAATAACCAGGGATTATGAGAACTGGACATCTTTGTCTCTGCCCCACCCCTCCCCATTTCTGACCCTTGTCCCTGCCCAGTCCCCCGGCCCCAGCTCCCACAGGGAAGTCCCAGGGGTCTGCATTTGCTGCCCCAGCGTTCTTGAAGGTGGAAGGTGGGGTGTCTCATTTCCTCTTGACGTCAGATCACTCTGGTCTGTGACCCCCGGGGCCACTGCCCAGAGACAACCTGACCGTTTTGGGCCAAGGTCGTGGGCAAAAAGGGTGGAGGGACAGGACGTCAGCAGAGGTAGAGCAGCAAAAGCAGATAGGGCTTCCTTGGAGATGATGAGCAGGCCATGTTCCTAGTGGACCCCCTGCTCCCGCGGCTCCCAGCCAGGCCCAGGGCTAGGGGACTGTGGACACAGTCCCCACGACAATGACAAAGAAGCCTGGGAGGCGAGCATCACCCCACCACCTGCACCTTACAACCCAGCAGCCTTGAAAGGCCCTTGCGGGGGGCGGTGGTCCCGGTCACACGCGCCTGGAGCCCGCCGCGCCACCCCGCCCTCCGCAGATGATGCAACACCCATTCAAGTTTGCTAATGAGCCCCAAGCCTGCAACGCCACGAGCGGCCACGAGAGGGCGGCCCTGCGCCGCGGACGGCGGCCCCGGCACCGCGTGCTGCGAACCTTGCATCAGCTCCCACGTGCGCTGTCCCCGCAGCAGGACAGGCGTCCGGCCAGTGCAGCCTTCCCGGGTGCGCGTGCGGCCTGCGGTGGCACTCACGCCAGAGGTCCTCGGTGCGCCCGGGGACCTCACCTGCAGGCCGGCCGGGAGGGGTCCCCGCCGGGGATAGCCAGGAAAAGTGGCTTTTCCCAGTGTCCGAGTTGGACCTCCTGGATGAACCGTGTGTTAGAAGCCGCATCTCGGTTTCCCTTTGTGCTTTGAGAGGGGCTTGGGGCAGACTTCACCCGCGTTTCCGGGGTTAACTGAGGGAGGAAGTAGAGGCTGCCGGTGGTGGATGGGGGAGGGGGTGCTTGGCTGCAGCCCTGGGCCCGGGGAGCGTCTGGGAAAAGGGCAGCAACCAGATCCCAGGATGTTTGCCGTCCCTGCTGTCCCTTCCGTCACCACTGCCCGGTGGCTGTGCAAGCCTGTGGATTACTGTTTGCTCAACTGTTCTGAAGCCAAGCGGTGCAGAAAGGCTCCCAACCGGTGAGGAGAGCGCAGGCCGAGGGCTCCCCGAGGCTGTTGGCGGGGTGATCCTGACCGTCCCCATTAGCGTCTCCGTCTTCACAGTGCTCCGGCTCTGCTGGGAGGACGCAGCTCCCAGCGGCAGCCACACGCCCTTCTCCGCCCGCCTCCCGGGGCTTTCTGGCGCCTTCCGCCCTCTGCTCGCCCGCCGGCCCCCTCCCCTTGCCCCAGCCCTCCAGCACTTCCACCTGCGGCTCCACCAGCGCTTTTGTTCCTGCTGCCCTGCGTTCGTTTCCCATCAGATGCCCGTGTTCTCGTTTGCGGTCATTTTAGACTTCCGACAAGTTGCTGAGACCTTCCAAGAGTCCTTGTGTGCTCATCTCCCTCTACCACAGTGAGTGGGTCAGAAGGAGAAACGCCCACTGGGGCCTGACTGTCCGCCGCACTCCCGACCTCATCTGGATGTTGCTGGCCCATCCACAAACGTCCTTGGTCTGGTCTCCACTGCGACCCCACGCTGGAGACGGCACTATGTTCAGGTACAGCTCGCTTCTCCGAGAGCAACCCCTCACCCGTCCCACCCCGCGTGGGTCCTGGGCCTGGGGGCTCCAACTGCCGCTTTTGGGCGACAACATCCCCCTGCGTGGCAATTCCCAGCATCCCTTGGGTGCTGCTGGGCTATGGGTGAAGGTGGCTGTGGGCATTCATTTGCCATTCTCCCTACCCTCTCCCCTGTAAGAACTTTTCCTCCATCCTTTTAGGGAACCACTGGCGTCCTTATCACGCCAGTTGCCCTGCTCTCAAGATTCGAAGTATCAGTCTTTCACTACTTAGTATATAAACCACAGGCTACCAAGCCTCACCTCGCTGAGATGGGCAGATGCAGAGTCCTCTGGGGGTGAGACTCATCTAGAATCCTGCGTAGAAGTAGGGATTAAAGCCTCTTTGAGACTCTCCTTACTTAGAGTCCCCTCTGTCCTTCTGTGACTGTCCTTTTCCGCCCCACAGGATGCCCAAAGTAACATATCAAAGCATCTCCCTACAGAACTTTTGGCTAGCAGCTGCCTACCCACTGGATGCTTCCCCAGACCTCACAGTCAACGCACTGATGCAGGATGTCATCGGAGACTCCCTTCCAAGCCCCACATAGAGGCTGGCAGGAGGAGCTCTTCGCTCCAAAAGACTAAGGACAATCTCTTCGTACAGAGGCCGGGCCATCCTGAGGACCTGTATCCTAGCAACCCCATGTCTTTGTCCAACTACCCCTAAATCATTGGGTTCAGCTCAAAACATCCAAAGGAACTCAGGGGTAAGATGCAGAAACCCGAATGTCTTCCAGCCGTGCACCCAGGACTCCCAGCACTGGTTTCTGCTCCCAGGGGCCCCGGAGCACACGGGTCCGTGATTTCGTTCACGAGGTCACTCTGTTTCACCATGACAGCGCAATGGGGCCAGAACGTTTGGGGCTCCGAGCTGTGCCGGTCACCAGAGGAGACTGCTGTCCGAGTCAGGGATCACAGTAAAGCCGATAACCCGTGGGGCCATCCCTGGGCAGGGCAGAACTGTGTACCCAACGCTGCCCCGCCCTGCCGGCCTCAAGTGCAAAAACAGGACATCCTCCTGACCCCCAGGGTCACAGGGTCGCTGAAGAGCCTGAGGGAGGATCTGAGAGCAGAGCCTGGAGCAAGTGACAAGGGGGATGCGCTGTCCGGAGAGCCCGGCACAGGGAACCCACAACCAGTGTGAGCTCTCATGGCCCTGATGGGGCACCAGGGCGATGGGGGCTGGCCTCCCTGTCCCTGTCCCTGGCCTAGGCTAGGCCGGTTCCCTGCTCCCCCGCTCCCAACCCCGCAGAGACACAGTTAGTTCTAGACGAGTGCCTTCGGCCTCCCCCCGCCCCACCCCAGGCCCCTTGCAGGCTTCCGGAAAGCCCCTGCTTCGTTTTGCAAATCAGGGGACTGAGCACAAAGAAAGGAAGCGCGGTTTCAGGAGGCTGCGGGCAGCGGGGATGCGGAGGGGAGGGGTCCTGTACCTCCTCCCAGCCCTCAGGCCAGACGTGCCGCGTGTGCTCAGGTGGCTGTGTCCCCTCCACCCAGGAACATTCCCTGCCAGCACCCACGGTCCCCTCGGGCTCCCCCCACGGCTAACCCTCTCCAACCATCACCGCTCCGTGTTCTGCACAAAGAGACCAGAACAAACGCCTTCTGGCCCCAGCAGCGGTGTGAGAGTAAACCCAGGGAGAGTAAACCCGTTCTTGGGAGCACAGAGGGGGCTGGGCGACGGCGACGTGTTGCTGTAGGCTCTGACGGTAGCCCGTTACTGCTCCAAAAAAGTAAAGTCCATAAAATTTTTTTAAAAATTAAAAAAATCAAGGCAAGTCTCTGTAGCTTGGCTGGTGCTGTTCCCATGGGGCTGGGGGTCCTGTGCCCTTGGGGCAAACGTCACCTCTCTCCCCCTCCATGCCCGCAGGGGGTGGACAGCACGGTTTCTTTAAGGGCAGGACACCACATGCTGGCAGGGCCCATGCAGCCCTCTGGGCCTGAGGGTCCCCCCACGCCCACCGCACAGTCTCCTGCTCAGGCTGCCAGGGCCATGCACCACAGCAGGGACAGACCCGCTCTCCCAGGGCTGAAGGCAGGAAGGCTGAGGCCGAGCTGTGGGCGGGTCCTCTGGCGGGTCCCTCCTTGGCCTGCCCAGTCCCAGGGCTTCACGGAGTCATTGTTCTGTGCCACCGTGAGATTTCAGGTTAAGGGATCAGCTAATGCCATGTTAACCAACCCCTCTTGGGGGACCCTATCTCCGATGGAGGGGACTTGCAGAAGGAGATGGGGCTTGGCTCTTCCACGTGTGAATTTTGCAGAGATACAATTCTTGCCTTCGGAGCCACATGACTCTGTGCTTGTGCTCATGTTCTCTCTCTCTTTCTCTCTCTAGGTGATGCCGGGGTCCGGAATGCTCGGGGCCTTCCTGCTCTCTTCACTAATCCCATCACGTCGTTCCCATCAGGAGGCTGGAAGCCCGGCGAGCCGGACCTCTCTGGAAGGCCTGGTCTACTGCTCGCTTACGGGGGTATATTTCTTTGAGGACAGCCGGGACATATTCTCGGTGCTTTGCTTTATTTGCCTGGTGTGCGAGATAACAGGCTCTCTGTCATCCTCAGAGTGTGACTGACGAGCGCATCCATTTGCCTTCATGCCCTCACGAATGCACGGATTCAGATGCATCCGAGGGGTGTCGGTGTCAGTGCACGTCTTCACGTTACTGAAGGTCCGATCACCCCAACTTCAGCCAGCAGGAGCCCCCCAGGGCCGGCCCCCCGCTCCTGCAGTGTCTGACGCCTCAGTCGCTGGTGTGTCAAGATGTTTCAGACTTGCCTGTGCCCAGACCTAGAATCCACAACTTCCCCGAGCCCTGCCTTTTTGGTTTATGGGGAGGGAGTGAGAGGAGGAGTGGGCTGGGAGCAAACATGGTACCTTAAGACCACGGTCCAGGCTGTAGTGGCACCCGGTGCGTGTGGGAAGGTTTCCCTTGACTTCCTTCATACCCCATCTTCATCCCTGGGAATGGTGCGGCGTAAGGACACCTGGGATGACAGAGCTAGACTCTCCCTGGCCACCCATCGGCTTTGTCCACACCCTGCATGTGGTGCTCTCAGAACAGCCGAGTCCACGCTGCCCACATTCGTATGATGTGTGTCCATGCTGTGTGGGGCACATGAAACCCCGTCTAGCAGGCGTCCCAGGAGGCTCCTGCGAGCCTGCGTTCTTACATGGCACAAGCACTTTCTGTGCTCTGCGTGGGAAGATCCATTTTGCTGGGTATAAAAATCTCAGGCTCTGGTTTCTAGTACCTTCCAGGCGTGACTCCCCTGTCCTGGCATCAAGGGCTGCTGTGGAAAAGTTGTGTGAGAATCTCGGTTTCTGTCTCTTCTAAGCCAGAGCTCTCTTTTTACCTAGAGGCCCCAAGGATTTTTTGTTTTTCTTCAAGTACCAGTCATTTTGCTAACATATGTCTTGGCATTGGTCATTCTGGGCTGGATTTCAGGCAACTTTCCTTGAATACGGGCCTCAGAATTTGTTCTGCTGTCTTGCGTTGGCGCCTTCCTCAAAGAGCCCTGTTATCTGTCTGTTGGAATTTTTTTGCCAATTTTCACAATTTCAAAGTTTCTTTGACATCCTTCGAATCGTGGTTTTTTTCTTCTTTTGAATTTTAAACTGTTTCTCCTTTTCATCTCCTCAACCCCTGAAGGCATCATGTCCTCGTGCTGCCTTCAACTCTTGAGTTCTCTCTGTTTCATCTACATTTATGAAATAATCGTTCTTTTGTTTTCCATTCCTTGCTTGAGTGTCTCACCTCACTTCTGAGTTTTAAACATTAACTCGTGGTGCCGGCTTCCCCCCGCTAGGTTTTCTATCATTTTCTCATTTTTAGTTTATTCTGGAACAGCATGTTGCAATTTTGATGTTTCCTTTTTTTGTTTGTTTTGAGCACGTCCTTCTGCTGTGCTTCCTCTCTGTAAGGAGCGCCGCTCTGTGGCACACTCTCATGTTTCTGGCAGTAGCTTTGCATGGGATTTACCCCTGATGCTTTTCTGTTGCTCAATGTCAATTTAAGGCTCTTGAGCCTCTTGAAGAACACGGGTTACAGCTTTTCTCATTTCCCCGACAGCCCTCTCCTGTCACTCTCCCGAGCACACTGTGACCCCCGGGGCTTTAACGAGCAGGGTCACTGACGCTGCCCCCTTCCTGCGCTTGTCCGCAGCTCTCCCTCGCTGGTCTCTCTTGTCCCTGTCCTGCTTGGTGCTGACCCAGCAGTTTTCCCTCTGTGTGGGGCTTTGTCCTGAAAGAACCACCAGAGGCTGCACTGTCCATCCCCGTGAGACATGACCAGGTCACCCTGCCCCGCTCCTTCTGCCACAACCCGCTGTCCACTTCACCTGCTGCCGTCAGACTCCATGCCGTCCAGGGCATACTTGTGGGCACTCATGCCCCCTGACACTCAGGTTTGTCACACACACATCCCCCACTCTCCCTACACAGACCCAACACCCGCACTCGGTGCCTCCCCGTGACTCAGCCCCACCCACTGGGACTCTGAGATGTGCAGACACCACACTTCCTAGTTCTGTGTAGATGTTGTCTGTGGATATTTCTTATTTTATTTTGTTTTTTTTTTAAGATTTTATTTATTTATTTGACAGACAGAGATCACAAGTAGGCAGAGAGGCAGGCAGAGAGAGAGAGGAGGAAGCAGGCTCCCCGCTGAGCAGAGAGCCCGATGTGGGGCTCGATCCCAGGACCCTGAGACCGTGACCTGAGCTGAAGGCAGCGGCTTAACCCACTGAGCCACCCAGGCGCCCCGGATATTCCTTATTTTAAACAATTTATTTATTAATTCATTTAAAACAGCAATAATCATCTTATTACCCGTTAACATAAACTACCTACTATTCATGAAAAGCAACTACATTTCTTTTTTCTTTTTTTTTTAAGATTTTATTTATTTATTTGAGAAAGTGAGTGAGTGAGAGAGAGCATGAGAGGGAGGAGGTTCAGAGGAAGAAACAGACTCCCACCAAGCAGGGAACTATGTGGGGCTCAATCCCAAGACCCTGGGATCACGACCAGAGCTGAAGGCAGACACTCAACCGACGGCCACCCAGATGCCCCTGTATTTCTTTTTAATCAAAAGTGACAACGTTCTGTGAAAAGACGAGCATGATTTGGTGTTTCTTTTTTTTTTTTTAAGATTTTATTTATTTATTTATTTGACAGACAGAGCTCACATGATTTGGTGTTTCTTCAGAGGTCTTGGTGTCTGGCTTCGTAGACAACGGATGAACTTCTCATTCCTGCCTGTGCGTTTCATCTGTCAGGCGTAGCATGTCCCTGGCCTCTGGAAAACTCCACTGCACACTTACGAGAGTTCTTGGAAATTTTACTTTTCTTTCCAGTGGTGCCATGTTTTACGTGGGGCTTTGGAATAGCCGAAAACCAGGCCACCATGGCCATCTCTCCAGAATCCTTCGTAGGCTCTTTGATGAAGGAAGGAGGTTCGAAGGAGGTGAAGCCCCAGCATCCCCTCACCATGTCGCTCTAACACGGCAAAGGCAGGCCGGCCACGCAAACAGGCGGGAGAAAACAGACAAAAGGCACAAGGTTTGAGAAAGGGCAGGCTAAACTGTCCTTATTCACACAGAGCATGGAATAAAAAAAAAGCCAAAGGCATCTCCCAATGATCTATTCAAATTAAAGAGGTAAACTTAGCGAGGTTGCTGGATACAAGATCAACATACAGAAACAGGTGGTTTTTTGTTGTTTTTCTTTTTTTTTTACAGACCAATCACAAATAAATACAAAATAAAAAATCTTTAGAAGTTACCATTAATTAGAGCACCAGAAACGACCAAATACCTCGGAGCAGAGGGAGCGGGAGATGGGTTAGACCTTGCCCTGGAGACTACAGGGCACCACTGAGGAGAAAACTTAGCAGACCCGCATATGGAGACAGAGGTCTGAGAGACGAGGCGAGACTCGCCGCTGGAAAGGTTTCAATCTCCCCGCCATGACTTACAGATTCAGCAACATTTCCTCAAAATCCCAGGGGGCTTTCTGCGGACCCAAACGTGTGCGCTCACAAACCGAGAAGCTGATTCTAACACGTAAACGGAAATGCCAAGGACTGAGAAGGACAAGGCAAAATGCAAAGCAGAACGAGCTCTTGTTTGCCGTATCCATTTGAAAAAACAAATGACTAATGAATCTTCGGGCCACAGAGCCAGGTCGGGAGCTGCTGGTGTTCTCTCCTCGGGGGAGGCATTATGGAAATGGCCCACAAGTCGGCACTTGGCATTTTCCCTTCTTTCTGAACCGAGATGCATGCACCACCGGAAAGCTTTGGCCGGCTGTCAAAAAAGGACAGGATGAATGAAAGGCCAGGACGAAAGTCAGGTTGGTAGGAAGCAGCTCCCTAGGCTTGTTGGGTCGTGTTAGGGAACCCATTAATCTGGTGGAGTAGGAGCCCAGCAATTCTTGGGTCGCTCCAGCGGCTTCATTCCTTGGGAATTAACATACAGGATCCTGCAGGTCTCGACAAACAAATCCAGAAGAGCGGACGGGATGTGCCCTGAGCGTCCGGGGCCGCGGTCCCGGGGATGGGACAGGGGCGTGCTGCTCTGCGCACACAAGGCTCCAGCTGCCGTGCCGGGTCCCTCCACCCCCGGGATGGTCAGCAGTTGGTTGGACTGTACGTCGCCTGATACAAACACCGGCTTCACAAATGTGCAGAAATTTGCCGGGCAAACTGTGGCTCGGCACGGGCGCCAGGAAGGGTGTTATGGGTGGGGAGGCTCCTGAGGGTCCACGCCCCACCGCAGCCCCATCCCATGGCTGTGGTTGCAGAAGTTCTGTGTGACCCTGTGGACACTCTGGACCCTTCCCCATAGAGTGGGCCGCTGCCCCCGCCTCGAGTGTTTGCTTTTGGCTCTTTGCTTTGGTCTTTGGGGTCTCCGGGGTCTTCAGAGGGCTCCTCCCTGGGGGATCAAATGGAAACGAACACATGTCAGGGTCACCTTTTTTATTCATCCGGAAAAGACTCTTGCTCCATTGGCCTTCTTTCTACTTGGTGAGTGGATGCATCTTTCCAGCCCTGGGCAAAATCATGCAATGCTCTCATTCTCCGGAGATCATTGCGGATTTCTGTCATTAACAACCACGCCAGCACCGAGCAGAGGATCCCGCCGCGTGGCGCAGGCCGGCAAATGGGCCAAGATGCCGCTGCGCTTCTTGCCCCCCGGGCTTGGCTGTGCTGGTCTCTGTGTCAGCACCTTCCTCGTTCCCCGAGGCTCTCCGGCCCAGAAGGAACAATCCATGCCCTCCTGCCAAGATTCGGGGCATCGTTTATCTTGTGGTCCCACAGCCCAGCCAGGCAGAGGCTTCCTGCCAACGAATACTGTTCCCCGTGGCCGAAAGCCAAGGCCAGACTGGGATTTGGAAGTGGGGGTTCCAGAAGCAGGGCTCCCAGATCACGGGTGGAGAAGGGCCCGCAGAGGAGCCCAGCTCCCTGATCCGCGGCCGCTTCCTCACCGTCGCAGGAAGTTCATCTGCTCAAGGGACACAATGGGGGCCCAGAGCCCAGAGACTCGGGCGTCTCTGCCACAACACTGTGCCCTCTGTCTCCCCAGCCCAGGCCAAGAGCGCTTTGTGCGTCTGAATCCCTGGCTGGGAACTAGACGACGAGCCCGTGCCAAGAAACAGACGACAGGGCTGGCTTTAACTCCTTGGCGTCTCCCGGAATGCCTCGGCGTTTAACAAATATCCTCGAGTGCCCACTGTGCGCTAGGCCTGCTCAGGGTCCCCGGACCCTCGGCTGGGGAACTCTGCTTCTGGAGGTGACACGGACGGGAGACAAGTGAACGGAATCACGGATGGGTTTGGACAATGACAAGTGTGTGAACAAATTAAGCAGGACAGCGCGGTATGCAGGAAAGCTTCCTCCGTGGGAGGGTGGGAACACTCTGGAGGAGGGGCGGAGTGCTGAGGGTGTTAGGGCTGCCTTGGGGTGGGGGAGGGTGGGTGGAGAGACAGGGCCCCCTCCTCTGGGGTTGTGAGCACCGGGAGGCATCTGGATTTTGTTCTAAGCACCACAGGAGCTGTTGGTGGGTACTAAGCAGGGCAGTGACTGGAAGAGACCCACCCTTTAGAGAAAGAGCACTGTAGCCCCTGTGAGCTGAGGGACAGACAGTGAGGGCAGCAGGGTCACCCGGTTCTGATTCCCAGGAGGACTCTGTGGTTATGTGACCCTACTGGGGGGACAGAGGGGACTTTGCAGCTACTTTCCTAGTAGCCTGATTTCATGATAAATCAAGACAGAAACCAATGGCAAGGAAAATGTGGGACAAACAGGTGGGTGCCTTGCTTCAGTGTATTAGAGATAGGAACCAACAGGGTGTGCAAGTGTCCTGGGGCCATGATAACAAACTGCCACAAAGTGTATGTGGAGGGCAAGGGGGCGAAACACAGAAATCTATTGTCTCACAGCTCTGGAAGCCAGTCGTCCAAAATCAATGTGCTGGTGGGGCTATGCTCCCTCCGAAGGCTCTGGGAGGCTCTCCTCTCAACCCTGTGGTGGCCGGCAGTGCCTGATATTCCTTGGCCTGTGGCAGCTTCATGCCCGGCTCTGCTTGCCTTCGCATGGGCTTCTCTCTGTGTCTTCACGTGTCTTCATACGAAGACAGCAGTGGAAGGGCGCCTGGGGGGCTTGGGGAGTTAAGCCTCTGCCATCAGCTCGGGTCATGATCTCAGGGTCCTGGGATCGAGTCCCGATCAGGCTCTCTGCTCAGCGGGGAGCCTGCTTCCCCCCCACTCTCTGCCTGCCTCTCTGCCTCTTGCAATCTCTGTCAAATAAATAAATAAATAAATCTTAAAAAAAAAAAAACAAAGACAGCCGTGGTTGGCTTTAGGGCCATGTTCATCCAGTGTGAAGTGGTGAGTTGAAAAACGACCCTCCAGAAAGATATGTCTAAGTCCTAACTCCTGCGCCCTATGGATATGACCTTATTTGGAAATAAGATCTTTGCAGATGTGATTAGTTTACAAAAATCGATGTTGAATCTCCTTGAAGGTGACAGGAGAGAGAGATCTGGGATGTAGGGACACAGGGAGAGGTCATGGGAGAACAGAGACAGAGAGTGGAGGGAGGTGACCACAGGCCTGGGGGGGCCCGGAGCCACCAGACCCTAGAAGACACAAGAGGTGTGTGATATATTTTATGTGTCAACGTGGCAGGCTCACAGGGTGCCCTGATAGGTGGTCAAACGATATTCTGAGCATTTCTGTGAGGAAAGTTTTGGGTGAGATTAATGTTAAAATCGGTAGACTGAGCAACGCATACTGTGCTCTGTAATGATGGTGGGCCTCATCTAATCAGTTGAAAGCCTGAAGAGAACTGAAGGCTGACCCTCCGAGTGGCTCCCTAAGGCTCCGGACTTGTCTGCTGCAAAGCCTCCACTACACTCTGCACATGGGAGGCAGCTCCTGAGCCATGCCCTTGACACATGGGAAGGTGTGAGGTTCAGTCCCTCCCAGCTGACCATGCAGATGTGGAAAGCCTAGAGATAGGACATACGCTTCACTTTCCTTGGGGTCCTCTTCATGGGT